AGAAGCAAGTCTGAGACAGTGCACATTTTACACAAACACACATGAGCGTGCAGGGTGTGCAAAAATATGCTTGAAAAGTCCACAGATGATGAATGGACAGACAGATGGACAGGTGGCAGCGGGGAGGCAGGGAGCCTGGGGTAGGTTACCTCTGAGCACACCTCCCCAAGCAGCCTGTCCTGTGGGCTGAGTGTGATTGGGACTGCAGCACAGGCTCCCTGCTGTGCTGGTCATGAACTGTGATCTGTGTGTGTGTGTGTGTGTGTGTGGTTGTGACTGTATCTGTGTGACTGTGTCTGTGAATGAACTGAGGCCACCAAGGTTGCTGTCTGGCTGTGGCTGTCTACTGTGGTGTGTGTGTGTCTCCATGATTGACCAAGTGTGTGCATGTGTGGCCAGGGTCTCTAGTGCTGGCCTGTGACTGTGCTTTTGTGTCACTGGCTTGGCTGTGCTGCTATGTGTCTCCTGTGTCTCTGATTCTGTGTGACCTTATCTCAGTGTGATTGTGTGATTGTGAGTTTCTGTATGTGAGTGTGAGCCTAGATGTGTGATTACATGTTTGTTAGTGTGTCCATCTGGGGATTTGTGATTGTGTGCCTTTATTTCTGGGTGGGATTGAACTGATGTGTGTCATGTATGTATCTGTGTAAAACTGTGTCTGTTTCTGTGTAAATGCGACTATGCTGATGTGTGTGTGATTGTGTATGACTGTGTTGGTGTGTGTGACGTGCACCTAAATGATGTGAGTTGTTGGGGTGTGACAATGTGCCTGACTTTGTTGATGTGGGAATCTCTGTGATTGTGTTGTGTGACAGTGGGGGGGACGTGTGTCTGTGTGGCGTGTGCCACTCTGTTGGTGTGCGTGTGTGTGTTGTGTCCTGTGTGAGGTGGCGTGTGTGCCTGGGTAGGTGTGGGCTGTGCAGTTGTGCTTGGCAGGAGAGGAGGGAGCAGCCTCTGCCCGCCCAGCCCCGCTGCACACGGCTGCCTCACACACGCACACACTCGGTGCCATGGCTGCGGGCGGTAGAGATGGGGGCGAGGGGGGGTGGAGGAAGCAAAATAAAATTAAAAATTAAAGCTCGCCCGGAGTCCCCATCCGCACCATGCCGGCCGGCGGGGAGGGGCGGGGTTGGGGCTGCTGGCTGCTCCCCCTCTACAGCCACCAGGGCTGGGGCCGCCTGTCCATCTGTCCAGCTGCCCTACCCGGCCCCTGCCTGCTCTACAGCCCCGGGCCGCAGGCCCTGCTCCCTCCATGGGTCGATCAGCGATCAATGGGGCCAGGGGGGCGCCAGGGGCAGGGCGAGATCAAAGGGGCCCCAAGAGAGGGACACCGGGACGAAACAGAGACGTAGAGATGGAGACGTGGAGACAGAGACATGGAGATGGAGTGCGGAGACAGAGACTAGGGGGCAGAGACAGAGACGTGGAGACCTGGACTTTCGAAGAAGTGGAGACGGAGACATGGAGACAGAGACAGGGAGACAGAGAGGCAGAGAGGTGTGGAGACCCAGAGACTCGAGGACAGACAGACAGAGAGAGATGTGGAGACCCAGAGATACCAGACTGGGCAGAAACAGCAGGCTGGGCAGGCGGGCAGGGAAGGGGACCAGCCGAGGGGTCAGGGGTCGAGGTCCCCAGGGGCCTGACATGGGGCCGGGGGCGGGCCCAGAGACAGGGGGACGTGGCAGCAGAGACCTGGAGAAGGCAGAGACGGGGAGAGACGGGGGCGGGCGGGGGAGCGTGGGAGCAGGGCCCGGAGCGCCGATCCCACGGCTCCTCGTTATAACGTGTCCGGAGGAGGCGGCGGGGAGTTGAAAGCGTCGGGAAGAGAAATCAAAACCAACACGGAAATGAGAGGGGCCAATGGGGGGTGGGGCGGGGGAGGAGGGGGGCCCGGAGAGGCGGGAGCGAGAGGGGCGAGGTGGGCAGGGAGGGTGCGGGAGAGGGGCGTCCAGAGAGACGGGAGCGGGCGGTGGGGGCTGAGGGAGGGCGAGGGTCGGATGGCGGAGGGAGGGAGGGAGGGAGGGAGGGAGGGAGGGAGGTGTGAGGTCTCTCAGAGACAGAGATGGACGCGGACCAGGGAGATAGAGGGGACGAGAAGAGGGCGCAGGGAGAGACGGGGAAAGAGAGGGGCAGCAAGGAACCAAGAAGAGAGGGACAGGGGAGAGTGGTGGGGACCAAGGGAGGTGGCCAGGGCGACAGGGAGGACTCCAGGTGGAGGGGAGATGGAGGAGGGGTGTGGGGAGGGAGGCCGCGGGAGGAGACGGGGTGAGCTGTGAGAGGCAGAGGAAGTCAGGAGAGGGGCTGCAGGACGGGGTGCAGAGGGGCCTCAGGCCGGGGAGACCCAGGAGGCAGGTGAGGGGGTGGTGGAGCTCAGGGGTCAGGATTGGGGCCTCTGGGGACATGGGTTATCGGAAACATCTTGCTCAGTGTCCAAGGGGTGAGGGGCCGCTCGTGGGGGAAGTGTCTGGGGTCTGAGGGGCTCCTGAGGGCACGGGCTGCCTGGGAGCCGTGGGTACCTGTGAGGGGTGGCCTGTCGGGTATCCAGGGGTGCGGTATCAGAGAGGGTGTCTAAGGAGGGAAAGGAAGACCAGAGGTGGGTCTGAGGGTGGGTGGGGTTCCTGAAAGTGCAGGATGTGTCCTGCCTGACGGGGTGGTGTGTGCAGGGTGTGTGGGGAGCAGATGGTTGTGGATGTGGGGTGGGTGGCGAGGGGCACGGGCTGAAGGGGAAGGTGTGAGGGAAAGAGGAGGGGATGGAGCATCTTAGGGCCTGAGGCATCTGAAGGGGGTGTCTGAGGGGATGGGGCCGAGGAGGAGGGGCCTGAGGGGGAGACTCAGTGGGAAGGGGTGTCTTTGGGGGGCTGAGGGGAGGCAGATCCAAGTGGCAAGAATCTTGGATGAGCAGCAGGTTTGAAGCAAGGGGGTCTTGGGACTCCCGGGGGCACCCTGTGCAGGGAGGGCAGGGGCTGGGCCAGCTCTGGGGTGACAGAGTGGGGGGCAGCTGGCCCAGATCAGCCAGGCAGGGCAAGTTTTGGAGCAAGATATATCTGGGGTAGCTGGAGAGACACAGAGGGAGAGGAGCCCCCCAAACGCAGGGAACAGCCCCAGAGGTCAGGCGAGAGACGGTGACAGGGATGGCAGCAGAGACTGCACAGGCGGGCTGAGGGCGGGCGGGCTGGCGGGCGGCGAGAGCCAAGAGAGAGTGAGTGAGAGGCGCGGAGGGAGGAGGCTGAGCGGCTGGCGAGAGCTAGGCAGGGAGTGAGCGGGAGGCTGAGGAAGGAGAGGCTGGCAGGGAAGGTCTGCTGTCCAGGCCGGAGGGGGACTAGGGACAGAGGGACCTGTGGGAGGGAGCAGGAAGGGAGGACCTGGGGGGCAGAGGAGGCGGGCACCTGGCAGATGCTGGGGACCTGGGAGAGGGAGAGCCCTGGCAGCACCCCGCTGCTGACCCCTGTCTGTCTCTCCCACTGTCCTCCATCCTGTCCCGTGTCTGTCCCAGACTCTGCAGGGTCAGCTCCGCCATGGACTGTAGCTGCGTCTCCGACCTTCTCTTCGCCCCGCCTGCCCTGCCGGCTCTCTGGACCCCTGGTAACTGGCCTGGACTTCTCCCACCCCACCCCTCAGCCCTCAGGCCTCCGCGGGGCCACACCCCCTTCTGTCTCCCCCTCCTCTATCTGTGAGTCTGTCTCCCCTGGTTTCCATCGGAGTCCCCTGAATAAAACCCCTTATGAAAAACTTGGCTATAAACTTTGCAGCCAGCTTTCCCTGCCATCTGCCTATGGGACGTGGGGGTCTTCTGGAGGGCAGGGGAAGCATGAGGCGGGAGAGGGACGAGGTCCTGGCGTCTCTGCCACGCACATCTCAGCCTGCACCTACCTGTGTGGCAGACAGCAGGCTGGGGGCTGGAGGAGAGGGACTAGGATAGATGGGCAGAGGGCATGGCTCAGCCATCCAGAGCCCAGGGAGACAGGATGGCTTGCCCAGAAGTGGATGCTCAGATCTGAGGATGTGGACAGTGAGGCGGGCTCGGACCTGCATTTGAGCCCAAGTCACAGCCCCCCAGATGGCAGTGTGTACCTGTGAGAGAGGGAGACTGAGGCTGTCCGGTTGTTTGAGGTCTCATTTGGAGTGTGTCCCTTTGTCACACTTCAGTGTTTCTGGAGAAAGTGGTCACACTAGGCAAGTGTCTACACGCATCTCCTGTCTTTGTGTGAGCTTGGGTCCCTGCTTGTACGCACATGGCGGAGGCCACCTCTGTCTCTGAACTGGCAGGCAGGTGGACATTTTAGGCTTGTGTGTGAGGGGGGTGTCTGCTGACCCGCCGAGTTGAGTGTGCCTCTGCCTCAGTGGGGTGAAGAGGCTTTGCCCATTTCCTGGGGTCTGTGGTGTGCTCTGTGGCATTCTAGGGACGTCTTGATACATTTGGGGCTGTGTGGGTGGATGTGCCCCTGGGTCTATGTTCTGGCTGCGTCTCATTTTTAGCCCAGAGGTGAGTGTGTGACTGGATCCTGGGGTTGCATGTCAGTGCATGTGCCTTTGACCACTGAGGTGGGATCCTCTAGCCATGTGTCATGTCTTGGTGGTGCATTGGAGGTCGCGGGTACAGGGCAGGTGGTCTTCAGGGTTGGGTTTTGCATTGTCATCTTGGGTTATATTGCTTCCCGGGTAGGATGTGCTCTGGTTGTGGAATGGGCTAGGGCTTTAGTCTTGACTGAGCCTGTCATCAAAGGTGACAAAGGAATTGGAAGGCCCCAAAAGGAATTGGATAAAATTCTCCCCTTGGGGAGAAAAGTGCCTGGCCTTCCAGCAGGGGAGTCTCAGCCCCCATTTCAACACAGCAGGCAGCCCGATGGGGCCCTGCTCCTCCTGCTCCCTGCCCCTAGAACCTTAAGACAGCGAGAGAGCAAGGGTCTGCCCAGTGGCCACATAGCAAGTGGAGAGGGGATCCGGGTCTCGCAGCTTTGCAGGTTCCTGCCCCAACCCACAGGCCATTGCCCTCCCTCCCCAGCCTGCTCCTCCTCTCCTGGGTCTGGGGTCTCTGAGCAGAGAGGAAAGGGACAGAGAATACGGCATAGGAGTTGGCACAGAAGCTGGACTCAGGGCTTAGGACCTTCTGGTTGGGAGGTGAGATTTAGGGGTGGGCAATAACCTCTCTTTGCACCCAGTTTCTGGGTGTATGTGGAATGGGACCCAACCCCTGAGTGTGAGACCCGTGGCTCCGAGTGAGCTGTGGCAGGTGCTGACAGGTGGGTCCTGTGGGTGTGGGTTTGGAGGCTGCTCTGCTGCGCAGTGTGGCTGTGTTCACCTGTCAGGCTGTGCATCTAAGGCCCCGGATGTCTTGATCCATCTCCATCACTGCTTTTGTCATTGGGGCCTTTGGGTTCCTATGTAACACAGTTGTTCAAGGGGTCCCAGTTCTGAGGCACCTGAGATGTGTAACTGTGTTGTGACAGGTGGGGTGTGCAGTGCTGGGTCGTTGGCATGACGCAGCCTTGTCTCGGGTAGCCGTGTCTGGTGTGCCTGCATGGGTGGTCCTCGGCAGGAGTGTGGCACACTGGCGTGTCCACCTTCCCTGGTGTAGTGTATGCGATGTGCTGCAAGTGCGGGAACACACGGGCACACAAGATCACACAAGTGGACATGCAAGACCTGAGCATGGACACAGTGGGTGGGTGGGGACACGGGGACATGAAGAGTACACACACACACAGGTAGGTGCAGAGACAGATGTGCCAAGGCTTAGCCAGAGTGTGCCGGGAGCCTCGGGGAGTGGGGGAGGAGCAGAGGGCAAGGGACTAGGCTACAGAAGACAGCAAGAGCTGGGTGCGTTTCAGGGTGCCTGAGATGCCAGAGGCCTCCTGGGGCAGTGGGGAGAATGGCTACCACTGTGGAAGATGTCCTTCCCCGCTACACCTCCCTGATCACCGAGGCAGGAAATGGTTCCCTCACATCCTTACCCCTTCCCCTGCTGAACCTGGGTAGTTGTGCCCAGGTAGAGGAGCAGGCTGGGAGGACCACTCAGGGCCCTCCCCCTTTAGGCAGCTGGGGGACTGGACACACCAGCGGGGCAGGTCTGGAGGTGCCTGAGGCTGGGTGGCTGTTCCTTTGGCGTCAGAGCAGCACTGGTGGCCTCTCTGGTTGCTCAGTTCAGCCTGGAGCTTCTGACTTGGCGTCCCCATCCAGGCCACTCCCTGCCTCCCGTCTCCAGGGTTTGCCTTCCCGGATTGGGCCTACAAGCCGGAGTCATCCCCTGGCTCGAGGCAGATCCAGCTGTGGCACTTTATCCTGGAGCTGCTGCAGAAGGAGGAGTACCAGGGTGTCATCGCCTGGCAGGGGGACTACGGGGAGTTCGTCATCAAGGACCCTGATGAAGTGGCCCGGCTCTGGGGCATCCGCAAGTGCAAACCCCACATGAATTATGACAAGCTGAGCCGGGCCCTGCGGTGAGGAGGGGCTGTGGGCCTGATTCCTACCTCACCAGCTTCTCCCCTCACTTTCCCTCAGGTCCCCACCCCCTGGGGGCTTTCCCTTCACATCCTGGGGCCAAATCCTGTTGGATCCCCAAATTCCTTGTGAGTAGAAGGGCAGCAAGGACCCCCAGCTCTGGACCCTGGAGCCATGCAGGACAGGATCCCAGCTCTGCCTCACCCTTCCTTGCCCCATGACCTTGGTTAGGGGACTTCTGTGAGCCTCAGTTTCCCCACTCTGCGGGCACAGAGCCTGTGCTAGGAAGCCCTAAAGGCCCCGTCCTCTCCCCACAGTTACTACTACAACAAGCGCATCCTCCACAAGACCAAAGGCAAGAGGTTCACCTACAAGTTCAACTTCAGCAAAGTCGTGCTAGTCAATTACCCACTGCTGGATGTAGCAGCTGCTGCCACTGGCTCCCCACTCTTGTTGACCCCTGGTCCCTTTGCAGGGGGCCCTGGGCCAGATGCTCCTCCCCTCACCCCAGAGGTGAGTTTGGATAATGGGATCCCAGAACTGGAATGGGGATGTCTGGTGCCCCCCTCTGCCATGAAACCCCTGGGAGGGGACAGTCTGAGTGGTGCCACCTCCCCCTCCAGGCCCTGCAGACCCTGTTCTCTGCCCCACGCCTGGGAGAGCCAGGGGCTCGGACACCCCTGTTTACCCCAGAGACGGACAAACTGCGGCTGGACAGCCCTTTCCCGTTCCTGGGCTCTGGTAAGAGCCTCAGGGTCCTGGGGGAAGATCTGCGCATGTTTGAGAGAAGAGGAGCAAAGACCAGGAGAGGGGCTGGAGGGGGGAGGCGGGGGAGGCGGTGACGAGATAGAGGACAAGGTGGGAGAAGGGCTTCAGGGGTACTAAAGGGATGGGAGACAGTGCGAGAAGGGAGGAGGTGGAGAGGGAGGAAGCCCTGTGGAGCCAAGTGGGAGGACAAAGGGGAGAATGGGATGGATGTGGCGGGAAGTGGCACCCTTTACCAACTCCCATGCAGGCCGCCCCCAGGGGGAGTGGCCCAGCCTGACCCATCCCCTGTGCCCCCCAGGTACCACTGGCTATTCCAAGCCCCCGGGCCTGCTGGGTCCCTACGGCCGCGCCTTCCCTGAGTACCCCTGGAACTTTAACCCATACCTCACGGGCCCCTTCCCCAAGCTCTCCCCTTCTCTCTATCCCCCACACTTCTACCCCAACTCCCTGGCCAGTTCCCTGGGCCACCTGCCTTCCACAGGAGCAGGGGGAGGCCCCACGGCTGCACCCCTGCTGGCTGCAACTGGGGAGGGCCCGGGTCCTGAACGCCCCTCAGGCCTGGTGGCAGCCCCTCGCCTGGCACTGCCAGGAGCGGGGGGTCCAGAGACCACGCTGGGCAGAAAGGAAGACAGTGACTCAGAACTGGAGATTACTGATGTCAGCGGCTGCAGCTCTGACAGCGAGGGCGATGAGGGCCTCCAGGTGCCTCCCAAAGCCAAGGCAGGCAAAGGGGGGACCGGCAGCTGAGCCAGCGTGGGGTGATGGATTCTGCCGAGGTGGGGACCAGGACAGCCACCCCTGAAGCCTCTGCCATCTGGTCTGTCCTCGATGTCAGCCAAGGCCTAGGACCAGGCCCCGGCACCCTCCCAGAGCCCAGTCTCCCTCCCCAACCCCAGAGTGGGGGTCTCGCCTTCCCCTCCATGGAGGGGGAGGGAAGAAAATGGCCTCCAGCCTCCTCCCCAGGCTCCAGTTTGAGGGGGGGTCCCCGCCTGGCCCCACTCCCAAAGTGCAATACGGCGCCCAGCCTCCCCTGCCCACCCCTGTGCTGTGACCTGTGTGTTTGTGTGGCCGTGTCTCCAACCCCCTGTGCCGGCCCCCATCCTGATACCCTCATACAGGCCCCCCTGGGGACAGGGAGCTCAGAGCAATAACCCCGCCCCCAGCCCCTACCCAGGAGGGGCCCCCTCCCCACCAGCTCCCCATGACCTCCACAGCCACCTACAGAGTTTACTACAAAAATAAAAGAACAGAGGGAGATGTGGGGTGCCCAGCATTCTGGATGACTGGGGGCTGGGGCCTCCCTCATATCGTGTGTGTGTGTGTGTGTGTGTGTGTGTGTGTGTGTGAATAGTTAATGAGAAGGACTGAATGAACGACTCAAGGGCAGCAAGAGCCACAGCGGGCGATGTGGTGGGTCAGACCCAGAAGTCGAGGTCGGCAGTCACGGAGGGGCCCAGACACTGCCGCACTGGGCTCTGCCCGCCCCTCACACGCACAGCTGTCTCCTTAGATAATATATATTAAAAAATAAACCTCCAATTCAGGATATAAAAACAGAGCAAAGGCACTTAGGGGTGGGGAATGGGGGGGTGGCCCCCACAGGCAATACTGAGATGGCCTGGGAAGTGGTGGGGGTCATGGTGGTGCCCCCAGAATGAAGCCCTGAGTCCCCCGACAAGGCAGGAGAGAAGGCCGAGGCCGGTGGGGAGACAGGGACCCCAGCCGGGCCCCTCCCAGGCATGGCTGGCAGCCCGCTCCCTCTCCTCAGGCCCTTGGGGGTGTGAGACGCTGCAGCAGCTGTGGGGTGGGCCCCCTCACGTCCTCTCCCCCATTCTCTCCTTCTTGCGAAAGGCCTGGGGGTTGGAGAAGGGAAATAGGGAGAGAATGGAGGGAGACAGCGCGAGATGGACAAAAGCAAAGGAGAGAAAAAGGGCTGAACAAACAGAGAAGTAAACTGGGGGAAGCAGGGAGATGGAGGGGGGTGGGAGGCGAAGGCGCAGGGAAGGGAGAGGAGACACCAGGGCTGCAGGGACCCCATGCCACTCTAGCCCCTCTCAGGGTAGCACCCCGGCTCCCGGCTCCCCCACTCACCTGCCTGGGCAGGGGCCTCAGGTGCAGCCAGGCTGGGGGACAGTATTCCCCCCAAGCTGAGACAGGAGAGGTCGCAGGCGGCACAGTTCCTCCTCCAATTCCTGAAGAAGGGTCGTCGGTGAAGGGGTGCCCTTCCTTCCCGAGCGCACCCAGGTTCCCCCTCACCCGACGTACCTCTAGCTGCTTTATGGCCTCTTCCAGGCTGAGCAGGTTCTCTTGAATTTCCTGGGTCTGCGCTGGGCCCAGAGGGCTGCCACCTGGCACCTCATCCCCGTTCCGAGGAGGCCCAGCCCCGTTGTCTTCCTCCGCAGGAAACAGGAGCTGCTTCAGGGACAGCACTGGAGCGGGGCCGGGGTGTGGGGGCACAGGGGACAGAGTCATGAGGGGCAGGGGCTCTGGGCTGGGCCTCAGGTGGGTGGGGCAGGCACAGGCCAAGGGCCTGCTGGGCTAAACAGATGGGGCTGGAGATTCAAGAGGGAACAGAGGTGAGGCTGGAGGTTGGGGCTGGAATGGGGTAGGAGGGCGCTAGGGAGGGAGCAGCTGCATTCAGGGTCAAGTGAGGATGGTGGCCCCAGGAGGACGGGGGGGGGGGCACCCAGGATGGTGGTGCAGGTTGGGTGGGTTGGTGCTTTTGTTTTCTAGCTGCTGGACATGGAAGAAATCTGAAAGGGGGAAGACTTTTTCTAGTTCCAACAGAGGTGCTATTCGGCTGGCTGGAGGCCACCCTGGAAAGGGCAGGGCTGGGCTACCTTTCTGAAGGGCTGTGGCAGCAAGCTGGCCCTCAGGGCCTGGTCGGCAGAAGGGCAGGAGGTCACTGAAGATTCTCTCAGTCCGGGCTGGATGGGGGAAGGGAGGGTGTCAGACCCGGTCAGCCTCCCCTGGACACCTCCCATTACCCATGAAGCCCCCGGACTCACCGTCAGCTGGAGGCATCTCTCGGCTGCAGCTGCCATTCTCAGAGCTGCTGAGCAGGGGTTCCCGGATGCTGTGGGGAGGAAGTACTGTGTGACCCCACACCCCTGTTCCTGGGGGGCAGCAGGGGCAGGGAACAGAAAGCTGAAGATGGGGAGGTCTGGAGATGGAGACAGAGAGAGAGGTCGAGGCCAGGAGACAGAGAGGCCTGGAAACAGGACATAGCCGGGTCGTGGCAGGACTGGTACACAGATATGCACACTCGAACGCTCATGCTCACACTCGCTGAGTCAGGGCTTGGGCCTGGGTTCTGGGGCTGCAAGGGAAGCCATTCTGTCCCTCCAGCTCCCTCTATGGCCCTCCTCACCTGCTTGGGCTAGGTCGGGGTTTAGGGCGGGAGGCAGGGGCGGGGACCTTCAGGGATCCAGCAGTCTCAGTAATGAGGGCACACCAGCTGGGGAGACAGGCCAAAGTCCAGGACAGTCAGTGCCCCTAGACCCTGTGCGATGCCCCCCATTCCCACACTGAACCCAGAGGCCCCCCTCTCACTTCTTCCGCTCTGACATGGTCTGTGCCACCAGCTCATATATTTGGGCCTCTTGGTCCCAGGTAAAAATGACGTAGAAGGCTTTGTGATCTGTAGGGGGCGGGAAGAGATAGGAGACAGTGCTCAGGGCCAGGGTCCCCGTGTGCACCCCTCCCTCAGCACAGGTTGGAGGCTGGGAAGCCCTGTGCTGCAATGCACCCTCACTGTCCTGCAGATACCCAGGGCTACCCCCACCCTATCCCTTCACTGTCCACTGTCCCTAGCCCCTGATCTGATGCTGTGGCCGGTCCCTGGCCACTCCGCCTACAGAAGCTCTCCAGCCACCCCACAATCCTGCCACTCCCACCGTCCAGGACCCCAGTGCAACTTCTTAGCAGTATATTTACAAATTCCTCCTCCCTGGGCTCCCTACAATTCCCATGCAGTCAGCCACAGTGTCTTGTCAAAATGCTGATCAGAGCGAGCGTACACGCCTGCGATCCCAGCAACTCAGGAGGCTAAAGCAGGAGAACTGTAAGTCCAAGGCCAGCTTCAGCAACTTCATGAGGCCCTAAGCAACTTAGTGAGACCCTGTCTCTAAATAAAAAGTATTTTGTGACTCAGTGGCAAAGTGCCCCTGGGTTTAATCTCTAGTACCAGGGGAAAAAAAAATACCGATCAGGGCAGGCCAGGCACTGGGGGCAATTCCCCTCTATTTTAATATGCCCCTACCTGGCCTGCTTATCTCTGCCTCAGCCAGCCAATACCTTTTTATTTATTTACTTTATGTGGTGCTAAGGAGTGAAACCAGTGCCTCACATGTGCTAGGCAAGTGCTCTGCCACTGGGCCCCAGCAGGCCTCTTCTTGCCCGCTACAAAGATCAGAGTGGTCTCCCTGGCCCTCTAGAGGGTCCATGGCCCACCCCATGGGGACCAGCCCTGAGCATACACCACTGCTGCACTCACCGGTGGCCACCTCGCGGGTCATGGCGGAGGTGAGCCGCAGCACAGGCCGCAGCATGGTCTTGCCGTCGGGCGTGGGCGTGAGCGTCCGGCTGTGCGACTTGAGCAGCAGCCTCTCGTCCTGGCGCTGGAGCAGTAGTAGTAGGTCGTCCAGCAGCAGCACGTGGACCTCTGTGGGGCGAGTCCAGCAGATGCTCACCCTGACCCTGTTTACTAACCCCACCCCACTGCCACCTGGCACTCACCCACAGCTTTGTCCTTGGTCACCCGCCACGTCAATGGACCCTCGTGCACCAGCTTCTTCTTGGTGATGTCCAGGTTCTTGGGGCAGGAGAGAGAGTGAAGGTTGGTTAGGGAAATTGGGGAGGGGAGAGAAGAGTGGCCACTAGGATAGCCACAGGGTCAAACGCAGGGGTCGACACAGGTGCCTGGTTGGAAATGAGGTGGGGGCAGAGGCGCACTGGGTACATGAACAGACGGGCAGGGTGGGCTGTGTGTCAGAGTATCCCCGGGGCAGCAGCCCTGGCTGAGCCACGGGGAGGGGCAGACAGGCAGTGCCCACCTTGAACTCGCTCAGCATGGGGTCGCTGCTCTGCCGCAGGTGGGACAAGTCCAGGCGCCGCTGGTAATCTTTGAGCCTCTGAGGCAGAAATGAAGAATGAAATGGGGATAAGTTCTGGGGCTGACCCTCAGTGACCCCAAGGAGCTGAGAGGCAAGGCCAAAAACGAGGGACAAGCTGAGCCAGGCCTGACCTCCATGGACCCGAGGGCGAGTCACGAGGGACAGTCTGGGCTGACCTTTGGACAAAGTGAAGGTAGTCCCAGCCCCCACACATATACCACACCCCATTCTTGCTGGGGCGGGGCCAGGCCAGGGCTCACCAGCAAGTCCTCCATGTCACGCACAGCTTGGTTGACATGGTGCAGAATCTCCCGGCAGCACTCAGCTGCCAGCTCCACTTTCTCTCGTTCCGTAGGCTCTTCTGTGGGCAAGGGACAGACTGGCTGCAGTGAACCCCAACCCTGGAAGCCCCCGGCTCAGCAGCCACTGCTGGAGAAGGGAAGTTAGGACCCAGAGGCGTGGGCCCCCTGGCACCTGTGTTCTGCCCGATGCTCTGCAGGAGCAGGGGGTACTTGGTCAGCCGCTGCATCTCGGTGGGGATCATGTCCTTCAGTTGCAGGCGGCGGCACCGTGGGCGGCTCTCAGCATCCTGTGGGGAATCAGCGCTGGGTGGCCTGTGGTTTGGCTCATCCCAGGGTTGGGACAACAGCCCCATCCTCCCCTGGGACCTGGAGTCCAGGTCCCACTTCACCTGCACGAAGGTACAGAATCGGGGCTCCTTGCGCTGTTTGGCCTTGAGCTGCTCTAAGGCAAATGACTGGCGGCTGCAGAAGCGGGAGGAGATTTTCTGGAACCAGGAGCCCTCGGCACCATCAAACTACAGCGAGATTCAGGCCAGGGAAGGTCTCAGGGGGGATGGGCAAAATAGGATCTCAAGCAGGGATGGGAGTCTAAAGTCGGACAGGCCTGGGGACCAGACCCCTAGCTGGGATGAGGGACTGGGCAGGGCATTCTCACCCTGGCCAACAGCACGTCGCCAATCTCTTCAATGAGGCAGCCACTTTCCTGTCTCCGTTTCATCAGGCGATCGAGGAACAGGGCTGTGGGAGCAGTGAGGAAAGCAGGTGCTCCGTTAGGGCCTAGAAGGTTGTCTGTAGTACTGAGGTGGGAGACAGCCACAGGTGTCTATGTCTGACCCTTGGGGTCAGTGAGCCTGTCTCCCACCCTCTGTGAGCTTAGACAGAATGTCTGCTCCCCTGAGGTATGAGGTCTGGGGGCCCCAGACAGGTGGCCCCCAGTAGTAGCACAGAGGCTGTCCATGGTGGGGCTCAAGGAGAACAGGCTGAATTCCGGGTCTACAGAAGCCTCCAAGGAGGAAGACAGGTGGGGTGCGGGGGCTATGGCCTGACACTCACAGTGCACCTCGATGAGCTCATCCAGGCTGGGGAAGATGTTCTGCAGTTCCTCCAGCGGGAAGAAGCCCCCATCGGCCATGGGCTGGTAGAAGAGGTCATGCAACACCCGCAGCATGCGCACGTGGGCTGCCTCTGTCACCAGAAGCTCTGCAGGGGGGACCCCAAAGCAGGAGAGTGTGAACTCTGGGGGATGGCTTCAGAGGGGGCTGGGAGAAAGAGCAGGGGAGGCCCGAGCCAGAGCGAGTAAGGAATGTTCCCGAGGAGTTGGTGTAGGGGACACACTTTCTAGGTAGGGTCATCTGCCCCCTTAAACAGTCAAGGAGGACTCCTTGACCCACAGTGCCTTTCCCTTCTCCCAGCCAGAGTGAGCAGTGGTCCCAATTTGCTGGTCATGGGGCTTTCAGTAATAAAACTGGGGAAGTCAAGTGGGGGCTGTAGCTCAGTGGTCAAGTGCTGGCCTAGTATGCCTGAGGCCCTGGGTTCAATCCTCAGCATTGAAAAAACACAACAAAACTCAGAAAGTCCGAGGCAAACCAGGATGAGCTGTATGCACCCACACCAGCAAGCCTGCAGCTGTGTATACTGTCCAACCGTCCAGCCATTTTCTCAGCCGTAGTTTCTGGTACGATGGTTCCCTATCGTTGGTAACTCAGATCCAGTGATTCCCCCTAGAGGGTGCCTGCACAAATTCCAGGGCCCCCTGAAGTCTGCTGAAACTAAATGCACTATTTTGTGTGTTATGCATATTTTTCTGGTGAGAGAAATTACTGTGCTGGCCAGTGGGGTAGCCACTAGCATCATACATCTGTTTACATTTAAATTAATTAAAATGCAAATGAAACACAAGAATCCAGTTCTCAGTTGCATCTACCACATTTCAAGACATATATGTGGCTGGTCTTCCCATGTTGGACATGTAGATAAAGCACATTTCCCATCATGTCAGAGATTTCTATCACATAGTACTGTCTACATTTTTATCATCTTAGAAGGGCTTGTGACCCCAAAAGTATTCACTTTGTATCTGAAAAATTCTTCAGGGTTTTGATTTTTGCCATGCAGTGGAATGAACCCAAGACTGCATGCTAAGAATCACCCTACCACCGAGCATACCCCCAACCTGTGCCCTAAAAACTCTGAATGAGCATCTTTCCTACTATTAAGTAACTTGTAAATAAACTTTCAAACAAGCTTCCAAATGTTTTTTTACTTTTGCCTCCTTCCCACACACCATCAGAAAGCACATGCACAAACAAATCAAGACCAAAAGATTCACCCACATCTCCCCATCCAGAAGCAAGCCCTGTTAATACATCGATCATTTCCCCAAACTTTTCCCTGTGGGAACCTTTTTCCCTTAAGCCATTAAGATTGTACTAATAACAATAATCCCATTAAAATGCTCACCCCCTGTGCCCCGCACTACACAGAATGTTCACAAGCTCATATCGTCTTCATGACAATCCTGAAGGAGGAAGTGTTAGAGCCCATGTTTCACAAATAAGGAAACAAAGGCTTACACTGGAAATGCAATTTTATATACTGTTTCTGGTACTTTATTTTAGCAGTGCTGGGGATAAAGCCAGGCCTCACACACGCTGAGCAAGTGCTGCCATGAGCTACACCTCAAGCCCCAAGCCCCAAATTCCCTGAAAACATAGCTTCGATAGCTGCATTCAAGTTCCATCAAGTGGCTGCTCTGTAATTCATGTAACCCGCTGACCTGTGCTAGCAACGAGCTGCTCCCCAGCACTCCAGATGGTAAATAAAACTAAGACGGACATGCCACGTCTCTGCCACCGGAGGACGGTCAGGGATGGCACTCACCGCTGATGACCTCCTGCCGCTTCACCTGGCTTTTGGGCAGGTTGAGGAGGATGTCCGGAGGGACAAGCTCCCGCCAGCCAGGAGGCTCTTCTGGTTCCAGCTCTACTCCTGACCGCCCTGGCTCCCCCTCATCTCCAGGCTCAGGGCTGTGGGCAGAGGCCTTATAAGTCCCAGCCTGAGGCACCCCAGGAAGGAGTCTTTGACTCCTTAGTGTTCAACTTCCCTGTGCCCCCAGAGTGGTCCATGCTGCACAGCAGTCCCCAAAACTCCAGACAGAAATGCCCCACCCACTCCTCCAAGGTCTGCGATCATAGCTGGCTTCCAGTGACCTCAGCATCTGCTGCCCACTGTGACTGGCAACAACCCCCTCCCTGACTCTCCGGGCTGCCTCAGTGGATGGGGAGAGAGACGTACGTGGCTCGTCGGGCAGGGCCAAGCACGGCCGTGGCGGAGCTGGGGTCCATGTCCACGTCGCTCCGGGAGCGGCCCCCACCCCGGCCCTTAGCCCCGAGGCTGCCCCGGGAAGGCCGGCGGCGGTCGCTCACCCGCAGGCTCTCTGAGCGCCCCAGACGCCCTGACAGCCTGGACCCCGAGGTCAAGGACAGAGTCAGGCAGAGGCCAGGACAGAGACGAGGACAGACCAGGACAAGAACAGAGACAGGGAGAGATCAGGACAGGGACAGAGGACCAAGACAGGACAGGAGGGACCAGGACAGGGGAGACCAGGACAGGACAGGGGAGACCAGGACAGGGACAAGGAGAGACCAGGACAGGGACAAGGAGAGACCAGGACAGGGACAGAGGAGACCAGGACAGGATAGGGGAGACTAGGGCAGGGGAGACCAGGACAGGGACAGGGAGAGACCAGGACAGGAACAGTGGAGCACAGGACAAGGATAGAGGGGACAGGGACAGGGACAGGGGAGATCGGGACAGGGACAGGACAGGGACGAGGAGAGAACAGGAGAGGGATCAAACATGCAACAGAAGAGAGGGGAGAGTTAGAAGTAGTGGGATCTGAGGTGCCAGGGCATGGAGGGTGGTGAGGAGTACTGAAATTTGACGGGGCAAGGGGGACCCAGTGTGGCACAAGGACTGACCCCCCCTTCCCTGAAGCAGGGGAATGGGGACAGAAGGGGAGAGAGGAAGATTTCAATACTTAGCTCTTCAACTGGGAAGGTGATGCTCCCACCCACCCCTCACAGGGGCTGAAGGGGAGAGGGTGGCCGAGGGGAGGGGACAGGGGCTGGGAGACATGGGGGAGGGGTTAGCCCTCCCCCACCAGGGCCCAGGCACCCACCTCTTCCACCTTCTGGGGAGAGAGGGGCACAGGGTCAGAGGGGGACCAGATGGACCCAACCCTCCTCCTCACACCCACCAAGGGGCCCCAAAGCAGCAGCACAAGGACAGGCAGGGGGCAGAGCCTGCCCCCCAACTGTGAGGGGGACAGGGCCCCCAGGGCACTGAGCATGGAGCATGGAGCACAAAGAGGGGATGAAGGGCACCAGGAGCAGAAGCGAGGCTGGCAGGGGCCTAGAGAAGAGGAGAGAAAGGGCCGGAAATGAAAGGGGTGGGAGAGGAAGAGAGAAGGAGGGAGAAACCTGGCCAGAGGGAGGAGAGGAAAGAAGGAAAGAGAAGAGGAGAAAGAGGAGAACCACAGCAAACCAGGAAGGAGGGGAAGGAGGGGAGGAAAGAGGGAAGAAAGGAAAATGGAGGGAGTGGAGGAAGACACAGAGAAAGCAGAAAAAGGGGTGCAGCTCGGAGCTAGCTCAGGAGAGGCAGGTGCAAACGGCAGCAGCCCCCTCCCCCACCCCAGTAAGCTGACCCTGCCCTGCCAGCCCTCCCGGGACCCAGTCAGGCACCTCTCCGTCTCAGCACTCTCCTCTGTGCTCTCTGGGGGCGCCGGGGGCTCCAAATTCACTGTGCCCTGTGGGGGTGGGTCCCCCAGGTCCAGGGGGGCATCCACACCTGCAGAGTGGAGGAGGGAGCTAAGCTGGCTAGAAGGCCCTGGGGTGGCAAGACTCTCCCTCTAGGGGCTCAGTCTCCCCTGCTGTGGAAGGGGGTGGGGGCTAAGGCACCCAGTGCCTGGCAGACACGTGCCATAGCAAGGTGCCTCAAGGAGAGACAGACGTTAAGAACGCTGAGCACACGGCAGGGGACAAGTGGGTGGTGATGCCTCGGGACTAGGGGGCCCCCTGCACACATCCACCCAGCCAGACTGCAGTCCTGGAGGCAGGAGGGAACTAGAGATAGCAGGGCCTCTGCCTCCATTCCTCCTCCCAGCCCTTGTGGGCAGAGGGAGACCCCACGTGGAGGTGAGTGAACTGGGGTTCAGCAAGGGGACGAGCCAGACAGCACAGCACAGGTAAATTGCAGAGAGGGGACCTCATCGAGGCCAGGCCAAACAGCCACCTCAGGATCCAAGGTGCTGAGGGCCACACAGCCCTGAGGAACATGAAAAATGAAGTTACTGGGGCAGCTGGCCTCAAGGCTGATGGGGGATGGAGTGGTGCTCTGAGGTGGACTGCCTGGACTCAGACTGGTCCTGGGAGACACAGCCTGAGAATAATGGAAATGCTCGTCCAAAGAGGGGCAGACACAACACTGGGCCTAGAAGCAGGGAGAGCAGATGCCCAGAGCAAAGGGGAGGCCTCCCCAGGGACCAAGGCCTTCATCTGAGCAGGCCCTGCCCCGGCCCAGGAAACTCACCTGGTTCCCGGTCTGGGCTGTCTCCAGACAAAGGGTGCAGAGGGACTCCAGGGGTGTCCTGTCCAGAAGTCCCAACATTCCGGTCCCGAGAAGGCATTCCCAGGGCTCCCTTCCGGTCTGTAGGGCCTAGCTTTTCAGCTGGGGAGACACAGGGAGAAAGAAGGAAATGGGAGGGCAGCACCGCCAAGCCACAACTGCAGGGGACCCAGGACAGCTCTGCCCCTTCTCCCTTTCACAGGGAGACCTTCCTCCCTGTTCAAGGACCAAGAGTCCTCCCTATCCACCGTCTCCTTCTCCAGACCCAGCCCTCCTCCCTGAGACCCAGGATGGATGATCTGGCTATAGGTCCATTACCATCAACCTCGCTTTTGAGGTGTCGAAAATCTGGAGCTGAAACAAGAGAATGGGACAGTGAGGCGGGGGTAGCCTGGAGGGGACAGGGTGGGGCTGAGGCCAGGGCCACCTTACCCTGGGGCTCTCCCCGGTTCCAGCGAGCAGCATCCAGGATACTGCTCAGTCCTTTCTTGGTCTTAGGAGGCTCATCTGACCGCTTGTTCCCCATCATCTGCAGGAGGTTGGGGGGCAGAGGAGGTCAGCATTTCCAAGATGCAAGAAGGCAGAATAAGATCCCAGGTGTCAGGGTCTTGAGGGTCCCCCAGGGCATCTTTGGAAGTGAAAGGGCCAAGTTTGGCATCAGCACCTTTTTCCGGAAGAAGTTCCTCCCTGACTTCTTGTCCCCGCTCTTGGTCCGCACCCCAAGGTGGCGCATGTACAGGCTGATGGCAGTCACCACAGCAGCACTGTGGGGAGGGGACAGTGAGGGCCCCAAACCCAAACAGACAAGTGCACACTACTGTGCCAGGGCAGAGGCGTGGCCTTGCCTCCCCATCCCCACAACCACTTCCTGAGTCTCTGAGGAAGGAGGGGAGGGCTCAACAGGACAGGGCCAGGGATGCTGCTCTTGCAGGACTGGGACCCAGGCCTCAGCCCCCTCCCGCAAGCCAGGGGGACCAATCGCCTCTCTCTGCCATCCCCCCACCCCATTACCTCTTTTCTTCGTCGTTAGAGATGGTATGCCTGTAGGGAGAAGAGAACAGTGTTGTGGCAGAGTGGTGGAGCCTGGGATCCCTGCCAACCAGCACACACCTCCAGGCTGCTCTTGCTCTCTGGAGTAAGAAGGGCAGCTGCTGAAGCACCGCCGGGGAGAAGGGAGGCTCTCTTCCAGGCGGATGGGAGTTGCCTAGACAGGGCTAAGCACAAGATCATGGACAAGACCCAGAAACTGCAAAGGGACCCAAAGCCAAGAAGGGAAGATCCAGAGCCAGGATGAATGAAAAGGCCAGAGAGGGGAGCAGCCCACCTGCTAGGAAACAAGCCCTAGGGCTGAGGGGAGCCTGCAAACGGGGGCTGAGGAGCGCGCAGCCCACCGGCCCACTCACTGCATCTCCTCCAGGTGGGTCAGCAGTCGTTCGGCCACATGCCGTTCCCGGGCCTCGTAGCTGGCTCGGTCCCGCCCAACCCAGGCCTCCAGCTGGGCTAGCTCCTGCTCCCAGGGCGTCATGCCCATGAGCCGCTTGGAGCGGAAGTCCTCCAGCTGCCTGCCCACGGTTGCCTGCTGGTTCTGCACCACCTCCTGCATGAACCGCCGCTGGACATCCTCAGAGAGGAGGTCAGGCCGTGTGCGGTCTGTAGGGACACACACAGGCTGGGGGCCAAGTCTCTGAGCAGGGCTCCCCACTCCCTCAGACCACAGTCCCCACCCACCTGCAAGCAGCCAAGCTTCCCTGGGCTGCCACTATCAAGGGTTGAATGAATGTGACCTCTCTCCCCAGGTGTCCTGGGAGGCACTGTCCCTGCCACAGACCCTCCCTCAACCCTAAAACCTTCCTTCTCTCCTTACCAAGTTCAAAGGTGACGCTGGAAGGGGCTGGCACCCGTAGGACCTGCTCAGGGGAGAGACTGGTGTGAGGGGGAGCTCTGGGAGCGAAGGGGGTGCAGCCCTGGAGGCCTGGTAGGAACAAGAGTGCGAGGGAGGATGCTGGGGAGGGCCTGAGGGGGCAGGGGGCGGTCACCCCAGGCCAGGCTGCCCTTTAAGCTGCCTTAGTGGGTGGAGGTAGGGAGGTGCATGGAGGCTCTCCAGAGCCAAGTGGGTGGGGATGGGTGGCTTGAAGGTGACTCTCACCGCGGTCTTATCTAAGAAGCTGTGGCAGAAGTCGAGGAAGGCCTTCTTGGTCTCCTTGGGGCCCAGGGAGCCCAGCATGTCAGCATGCAGGCAGCAGAGCTGGGGAGGACACACAGTGTGACTTCTTCCCTCCCAGGCCCAACCACACCCCCACTTTGGATAGCCTAAGGGGCTTCCCCGCCCCCAGGCACCCAACGACTGAAGGGCTCTAATGCTACCTCCTGGGGAAGCACTCCCTGATCTCTATTTCTACCCCCCAAACCCTTGCCTCCCTTAGCCTCTCTGGGGGTGATCAGCATGAGTACTTCCTAATTTTTTATCCCATATGATTCTTTGTGGTTCTGTCTCTTCTCCACTACTTCTAGTCATACCGAGGGCTCAGTGTATACCAGAGGTGGTTCTAAGTCTTTGTTGTGCATGAATTTATCTGTTCAATCACAGGGATCATCATTACCCCCATTTTTTTGTTTTGCCTTTTTTTAGAAGTACTGAAGATTGAACTAGGGACTCTTGCATGCTAGGCACATACTCTACCACTGAGTTATATTCCCAATACTTTTTTAGAATTTTATTTTGAGACAGAGTCTCACCAGGTTATCCAGACTAGTTTCCAACTTGCAATCCTCCTGCCTTAGCCTCTGCCCCAAGTAGCTGAGATTAAGTGTGCATTACAGATCCTGGCATTTATTACGCCCATTTTATAGATGGGAAAACTGAGTTTATGATGCCTACTCAAGGTCACACAGCTAGTAAGTGGCAAAGCTGGGATCTAAATGCAGAAAGCCTGACTGCCTCTACTGCTCCCCATTGTCTAGAAGTTATTGTGAGCAACTTGAGAGTCTGTCTGTGGACACAGCAGTGGTAGGTGGGTTCTGATTCCTATGGCCCTGTGCACAGCAAAGGCTTCATAAATAAATGGGTAGAGGAGCTGGGCTCACTCAACATCTCCTGAGGTTGCCTGGGTGCCAGCCCTGGGTTGAATGACTCTGGCAGTGCAGCAGGGAGTCCAACCTATCCTGGCTCCCGGGGGAGTTCTCAACTGGCAAGTGACGTGGCCTTAAGTGTGCTAAGGACTTACTCCACTGTTGGCAGACTCTTTGAACAACTTCAACGAATCTACATCCACTCTCCTTACCTCCACCCCTAAAGTACAGCCTGAGAAGGTCTACAAGAGGACAAATTTCAAAATGCCAGAGGCCATCTGAGGTCACTCCAGGCAAGCCTGGCCCTCTCTCGCTCTCAGTTTCCACATCCATAAACATATGGCAGTTGGCACCATCCCTGTGCTTAGGTCTAGGAGGGATCCTTGTGTTCTAGAACCCCAGGACTTAGGCTGGACCTCTGGTGGAGGGCCACAGCATTAGGGGAAGGGCCGCCACTTTCTGGAGAAAGCAGACAGGGACGATACTGGCAATTTCCCAATTTTCTGCCAGTTTCTAAAGCTTTGGCATCAGAACACCCAGGCTTTGCCTTTGATGTCCCCTTCCTTCTACACCCCAAAGGGTTTCCTCCTTGCTATTTCTTTGTCTCCCAGTTTTCTGGAGGAAGCATCTGTGTTTCCACACCGTGCATGCCTGGGGCTGTTTCCCAGCTGGCGGCCTGTACTGGGCTGCTCTGGTCTTCATGGCATGAGACATTGTCTACAGACTCCCACTGGCCAGTGCTGTGGCTTTTCCTTCAAAAATCACCTCCTGAGTTTTCTAGACTGGAAAGCATGGTCCTGGATCCACAAATCCCAGGTATCTTCGGCCTGGCGCAAGAGGTTTCTGGGTTAACGATTATGCCCTGTCCATATAGTGGGCACTTGTGGTGGCTTCCTCATTTCAGGATCAGGGGCTGCAGTGTCATCTGGGCTGGGATGGCTAACAGCTTTCTCCCAGGTACCAATCCCGATGGTAACTGGTAACACCTGCAGAGGCCTAGTTCGGTCCTCCTTCAACAGCCATGGGAAGGGTGCTATCACTGATGGGGGACCCCACTCCAGTCCAGGAAGACAAGCAGCAGGACGTGGTCTGTGCCAGGCTACAGGGTTCTCTGTGGCTCTATGCACGGCCTGCCATAGGTACACTCCAGGCCAGTGCTCATGGCCCACTGAGGTTTCTATGGGGCCCCCCAGTCTAGTCTAGACCACACAGTGTGCGTTCTAACTCTCAGCTGTGGTGCTAGTTCTAGATTCTGTGCTGTGCGCTCTGGGGCTGGTTCCCAGGCCCTCCTGGCTCACCTGCACTGGTCTAGCTCACCGACAGGCATGGCTTGCCCAACCTCACTCCCCCCTCCCTCTGCAGTTGTGTCCTCACCAGAGGTCCTGGCTCAAACTGCAGGGCCACATGCTGTAGGAAGGCCATGAGGTGGGCCGGGCGCCTCTTCACCTGCTCCAGGCTCTGGAACTGGCTGTTTTGCTCCTCTGAGCTCTGGGAATGGGAGAGAAGGTCGCTAAGTGCCATGGGGAGAGGTGAAGAGGCCTTGGTGGCCCCACCAGGTCCATGGCACCTCTCAATGGATCCTAGCTGGGGAGGAAGATGCTAGGAAGTTGGCGGTAGAGATATGTCTCCACCAGAATGGTGACAGTAGGGGCAGAAGGGTGGAGAATGAATGAGATTTGATGTTCTATTGGTGAGTGACAAGAACTGAAATTAGGAGAGAAGGAATGGGACTCCATGGTGGGGGCAGTGATAAATTGGGGCCAGAGTAAGAAGTCTGTGCTGAATGGGGGCACTGATGGCGCAGGGAGGTGAGGAAAGTGGTATCAGGAAGAGGAAGAATAAGAGAAGGGCAGATGGCACAGCCCAGGATGGGGGAACCGGCCCTATGGTGAAGGGGACACCGACTAAGGATGGGATGGAGATTTTCCACTCCATCTCCCACTCACAGCCTCCAGCTCATTCTCGAAATCCTCATCCTCAGCCCCGATGATGCTGACGGGCACCAGGCCAGGCCGCGGGGGCCCTGGAGCCTGTGGAAGGGGAGGCACGGCTTAGCCCACAGGGCTCCCACATGGCAGCCCCCCAGTCCCCACACCCTCCCAGGCTCTCTTCACTCACCACCCCTCGGGCGACGTCTTCCATCTCCAAGGCTCTGTGGGGCAGGGAGAGGAGGGGCTGTGGTTAGGGGTGGGAGGAGGCGGCCCAGGGCGGTTACTCAGAGATTCCTGGCCCAGGTGTGAAGGTGAGTAAACAGCCTCCCCCCATCCCGGCCTCGCAGCTCAATGGGGCCTCTGTGTGGCGACAAAGAGCTCTTCAGAGGCTAGCCAGGGGGCAGGGAGCCCAAGGACCAGAGGGGGGGCACAGGCTGGAGGCCTAGGAGCCTGGGTCCACAAAAGGACTGTGGGTGTGAGCTGGCAAACTGGTCCCTAAAAGAGGAGGGACCAGAGGCCTGGGGGTTGGCTCCCCAAGGAGGCAGGGCCTTTGGGCAAATGGAGTTAAAGGGAAGGTTGAGGGGAGGTAGGAAGGAGAGGACTGGGGTGTAGGGGGCTCTTCTCTGATCTGTGACAGGCCTAGGCCAGGATGTTGCCTGTGAACCCACCAGCCCCACTTCCTGTGACAGGAAGTCACAATGGCAACCCCCAACCCCCAACTCTCTCCACACAAGAAAACAAAACTCTGAACCTTCCTTTCTCAGGGACCCAGAGTCCCCAACCTAGAGGTTCTTCTTTCTTTCAGGAACCAACTATTTTTCCCAGCATTTGGTCCCAGAAAACGAGGGAGGGGGCCCTTGACAGCCCACCCCCAAGGTGTGAGTCTCCCTCTACATTATCTTGCGGGGCTCGGCCTGACTGTGTCTCCCTGGGATCTGTCTCCCATCTCTGTCCTTCCTTCTGCTTCCTGGGCTCTTTCTCCTCTTCCAGTCCTGTCTCCTCCTGCCTGGTCTCTGCCTGTCCACCCTCCTCCTCCCGGCTTTCAGGGCTCCCAGCCTCTCTCCCTCCGTGTGCCTGTCCTTCCACAGCCAGTTTCTGAAGCCCCAAGTTGCTGTCTCATCTCTCTCCATCTCTCAATGTCTCTCCCATCTTTGTGTCCCCTTCTCCTTGAGTCTTCCAAAGATCTGTGTCCCTAAACAGTTTGAACAATGCCAAAGGAGCTATGTCAGGGGGAGTGGGGGTGCAGCTTCTTACACCCCAAAGCTATTTATTATCCTAGCCACCTGAGACCCACCCTTGCCCAAGACCCACTCTTTTCCCTCTTCCATGGCACCTGATAAAATGGTAGCTGAGATTTTGCTACAATGACTAAATAATGATGTTTTTGGTGGTGTCCAAATACCACCTTTAGGGTCTACCCAAGCAGGCATCATTTTTATAAAAAGTGTGTCTACCATTCAAGCTTAGGTAATTTCAAGATTTGAGCAGTTAAATGTTCACATAAATAAATTTGCAAACCAAGGCAGAAAAATAACAGTAATTATTTATCATGAGAGCTAAACTCACAACTCACCTAGCACTTATATTGGGTACTGCTCTAAGGACTGCTCATGTATTAATTCAGTTAAACCCCACAAAAGTAAGCACCTTATGCTAGTCGCATTCCCATGAGACACAGGGATGCCTTTACTAGGCCACCACCTGCAATTTCATACAGAATCCATGCTTATCTCACTCAGTGATGAGAAGTTCAACTAGGGAAAGAAGGTCCCAAAGAAGGTCACAAAGGATGTAGCTCAAGGGGTAGGGCACTTGCCTAGCATGAATGAGGCCCTGAGTTCCAAATCCACAGTGGAAAAAAAAAGCAGCAAAGGAGGGAAGGCATATTATCTGAGCAATGTTCAGTGCCAGGCCTAAAGTCATGCACTTGACAAGCATTACCTCCTTATTCCTCATCATAATAATATGAAACACTTATGGTGCTCTCAGTAAGTGCCCATTACAGCACACTGCATTACCGATGCTTACTCACTGAATCCTCTCCATAACCTCATGAGGCCAGCAATATTCTGATTTAATTTTTTTGACCACTATTATTCTCGTCCCCATTTTACAGAGGAGGAAACTGAGGCACAGCTCATAAACGACAGAGCCAAGATTCAGAACCAGGCAGTCTGACTCCAGAGTAGATGAATTTAATAGACGGTGGTCCTTCAGAGCATGAGGATCCCCCATCACACCCTTAGGAAACTAAAATCTGAACCAAAGCTAATACACATTAAGTTTCCTTAGATGCCTGGGAAAGTCAGGGGTATGTAGCTGCTGCAGCCTGGGCAGGAGTGCAGGTTGGACCTGACCTGGGGCTCAGGACTGGGAGTGGGGCGAGAGGGAGGGCTCAATGTTTAGGGCATAGGAGGGGAGGGGGTCCCCACAGAAGCTGGGGAATTATAGGTGAAGCTGTCCAAGGGCAAATGTGATCTACAGAAGATTGACAAGGCCTGGGATCCAGCAGAGGGAGCACTGTGTGCAGGAGGCTTTGGTCATCAGTACCGGTTGAGAAGGTTCATGGGGTGGGGATTCTAGAGGAAAGTGGCACACATGGACCCCTGGGTTCTCTGCAGGGCTCAGGGTATATAAGATATTGAACAGATGATCTAGGTTCTCCAAGAATCCTTGGGAGCCTTGAAGAACCTCAAAGGGGCCCTTAGAATTTATCCAGCCCCAGATTCTACTGACATATCTAAAGAATCTGGAGATCATACGGATTATGATTCCATAGGGAAAGCAGCCAGTCTCCGAGACTTATGGAGACTTAAAGAATTCTTATAGGGGTGTGTGATGGATCCTCGGGACCCAGCATCTATTTGGCCCCGGATTCTAGGGGATGTTATTGACCTATCAGAACCCCATGTTTACAAGAGTCCGGCTCTCCTCAAGGGAGGCCAGGAGGAACCTGGAGGGTCTGTAAGATCTTGTAACCTATATGGACGTGGCGGGTCTTCATGAGCCCCAAATCTTACATGGGACGTGGCGGGTTTACATGGGCCATAAATTCTACAGGGACTCAGAAGTATACACAGCCGGGGATGCCGGGTCGAAAGCACAGAGCCTGACGCCCACCAGGAGCCGCGTCCCTCACCTGCTTGGGTTGGAAAAGAAGTCACTGCAGCCGCCGAAACCGAAGCCTCCGCGCGCGGACTTCGGGTTCCCCCACCCCTGCCGCCGAGTCGCTCTAGCCGCCCCAGAGTCCACTTTACGCCCACCTCCACTCCTCCCGCCGACCGCTCTAGCCAGGCTCCTATCAGGCTCCTGCCCCAGCGACTCTACTCCTCCGCCGGCCGCTCTAGCTTTCCGCTGCGCCACGCTGGCCAGACAGGGCCGCTCTGGCCTGCCTTGGAGGGCCGGCGTTTCCGTATCTCGACTGCCCCTGTCACTCTCTCGGGTCCCGCCCCCTGGCCGGAGGTAAGGGTGGTTCCAACTCCTGGCCAGAACTCAATCCCAGATTTACCGACTCACTTGGTCCCTAAATCTCCCGACCTTGCACAGGGGGTCCCCGCTTTATTTGCCTCCCCAGCACGAGAACCTGATGAATTCCCAACGCTCATACATCAATTCCCTCCGCAATCCCACCACCTCCTTCCGCGGGAGCTGGAGAGCTAAAACCTTGGATTTGAGCATACTTTTCCTTTTGACATCAGGGTAACACTGAAAATGCAATTACTGTTTCCAAGTCTCAATCTTCCCATCTGTACAATGCGGGAAGTTTCCAGCTCTTTCCCCTACTCCCATCTCCCAGGGTATAATTAACGGCCCAAAGAGGAGCTTCCCGAAAACGCTTTCAAACGCGCTCTGCAACTCTCAGCTTCACAGCGGCCCGCGGCGTTATTGTTGTTTTTCTTTTTAGGTGGCCCTAGAGCGTGCAGGGATGGAGGACGGCGCTTAGCGGGAAGCAACTTAGAATTCAAATCCCAACTGCACACTGTCTCACAGAGTGTGTCGCTGGCACGAGTCAGTTCGGTTCCCTGGGCCTCAGTTTCCCCACCAGTACAGTGGGTGTGATCCTAGGTCCTGAACAGTTGGGAGCCTTGAGCCCAGCTCACGGCTTTCATCCCCACCCAGTGGGCACTTGACAAGTCTTCGTGCGCTCTTTGTCCCCTTTGACAGATGGAAAAACTGAGGCCCCAGGAGGGCGGCCGCTGGTTCCGGGGGGCTCGGAGGAGGCCCCTCCGCTGCCGGAGCGCCCCAGCCCCCTCCCTCCTCCGCCCCACTTCCCCCGGCAGCCAAGGGGAGGAGGCCGGGCGGGGCCAGCGACGGTGTACCTGGTGTCCGCGCAGGGAGGTGACCGGCGGGGCGCCCGAGGTCGGGCTCGGAGATCCCGGGCCCTGCGTCCCGGCTCCTGCTTCCTGGCTCTGGCGGGGCAGGAAGTTGGGGCGTTTTTCCGGAGGCCCCCGCCCCGCTGCCCCTCCCCGCTTCCTGCCCGCGCCCCGCGCCCGCCCGGCACCTCCGCTTCCTTCCCCTTCTCGCAGCCCGCCCGGCTCCTCCTTTCCCCCCGGCACCGGCCCCGCCCGGCCCTCCCGGCTCTGTCTGTCTGTCCGCGCGCAGCCGGCGGACTCCCCGGTCCTCGCACCTCCTGCCGGGTCCCGCCTCGCCGCGCCCACGGGCGGGGGCCGGGATGAGGCCCGCGCCGGGGCAAGGGCAGCCTCCCCTGCTCTCAGTCTCCGTGTGCCCTTGCTCTTCCTCTTTCTTCGCCCCTCTGAGCGTCCTGCCTTCTGTGTCCCTGTCCCCTGGTCCCAGTCGCTCACTCCCTCTCCTGTGGGGTCTTTCCCTCCCTGGCCTGTTGATTGACCCTACTGTTCCTCCTCTGTCCCTCTTCCCCTTATAGCCCTTCTCCCCCTCTCTCATCTTTCTGCATCGCTGTGTCCTACCCCCAATTTTCTTTGCTTTCTCTGACAGTCTCCCTGGCCAGCCTCTCCGTGTCCAGTTTGCAGTGGACCGTCTTTCCTTCTGTCTCTTCCTTGCTGTCTCTCTTGCCCCCTCCTTATGCCTGTGCCTTGGATTCCCGGGGTCCGAATCATCCCTTCTTCCCTCGCTGGCTCTCCTGACTGCCTCTGTACCTCTCTGCCTCTCTCCTTACTTCAGTGACTCGGTTTCACAGCCTATCACTTCCCCCTGGGTTTCTTCCATGTCCTCCCTTCAGAACAAGCCCCACAGTATAGTCCACTCTTTCCAGAGCTTAAAAAGGCAATAAAAAAAATTTGGTGGCCATGATACCCCTTCCATTTACCCCCTTTGCTTGGGGACAGAGGGAGGGCTGAGGCACTACAGGGGGCCAAACCAGTCCTTCTGTTGGGGTGGGGGCTTTGCCAGGAGACTTCCTGTTCTGGGGGTAGGGGGGTGGCCAGGTCAGGCTACCTGGTCCAGGTGTAGGGAGTGGGCAGGGCATGGCTTGGGCCCAGAACACTGGGTCTGAAGGAGAAGGGGGCTTAGGCCTGGACTCCTGGGTCCCAAGGAAGGGGGGGGTGCATCCTTGTGAGATCCATGACTCCTGCCAAGATCTGCAGTTGGGAAGGATTTATTATCACTAAGTGGCCATGACAGATCCGGGAGGAGGGGGTGACACTAACGAGGCTGTTGTAATCAGCTCCCCTAGAGGCAGCGATTAAGGGCTCATTACCCGCTAGGGAGGGAGCCTGGGAAAGGCAACAGGGGAGGGCTGGGTTAGTGGGGGAGGGCAGTCTCCAGGGAAGAGTGGGACACTCCGAGGGGGAAGATGACTCAGGAAGCTCCCAGGAAAGAGGAGAGAACATTCCAGGAGAGAAGCTGGAGTTGGCTGCTCGTAGCAGGCAGGATAGGTCTGGCAGGGTTCCTGTGTAGAGGGAGGAGTCACGGCTTCTCCAGTTGGACATCTCCGATGTGGAGGCTGCCCACGTCCTGGTAGGTACCCTGGAGGCCCCTGGAGATGTCCTCATACATGGAGCAGTCATCGATGTTCAGGCCCTGGAGGGACACCATGGGGCCAGGGACATCAGTACCCTGACACCTGGGATCCCTGCCTTCAGTCAACCCCAGGGAGGGACCCCTTGCAGGGATATGTTGGCAGGACCCCCAACATACGTATTCCTGCCTTGTCCCCACCGTCCACTTACTTCATAAAGATTTTCATCTTCGTAGTCATCCTGGGTGTCCACCCCAAACCTTTCATTCTGCCAGCGCTTCTGTGGGGTTTGAGTGGGTGGTAGGAGGAGTGAGTAGGAGGAGATGGTGAAGACTTTTTCAGACCCTCCTGGATGCCAATGGTATTTTTCCAGAAAGGGTATGGGACATGCCCAAGGCCATGTATAAGCTATGTGACAGGTCTCTCTGGGTTCAAAGCTAGTGTCCTTTTGACTGTCTCCACTGCATTATTATTCTTCAGGATTGACAACCACAACAATAACAGTGAATAATAATAGTTGGGCTGTGGCCTGCAGAGACCAAGTGGCAAGGACTGAGTGAGGACACAAGTCCTGTGTACCTTGCTGTGGGCTACATCTGCAGGGGACTGCACTTCTGGGTGCAGGCAGGAGGATGAGAGACCCTGGGTGAGTGAGCATCTCTCTAAGGAGGAACAGTGGGGACACAGTGAAAGGGGAACAATGAGAAGGACCCTCTAGCCCACACCACTTAAAATGCTCTTGTTGTGTTAGTTCATTTAACCCCCATCTCCCCAGAGAGGTGCATGTTTTCATTCTCCCAAGCTTTGGGGGACGGAACCCTGGGGGTCTCACCCTGAACAACAGCAGTGTCCCCGGCACCACAGCACAGAACAGCAGGATGATGCCCTCGGCTGTGATGATGCGGTTCTTGGTGCCCTCTCCCATGTCCAGGAAGGGTCTGGGGGGTGGCTCTGTGAGGAGGGGTTGCTGCTTAGAGCCTTGGCACCTCCTGTCCCCCAGTTCCTTCCTGGTCCTCTCCCTCCCCCGGCCAGGCCCAGAATCCCTGAGCCCCAGAACCGCAGGTGCAAACATCAGTCACTGTGTTCATCCAGTTCCAAGCCCATGACAAAGGCACTGGCTCTATTCCCACTTCACAGATGAGGAAAGTGGTGTCCTAGCCAGGTGGTGGGGGACAGGGCGAGGCTACTCACCTCGAATACGCAGGTAGGTACCGCAGGAAGACATTGATTTTCCATTATCTTCCACTCGGCACTGGTACACGCCCCTGTGGCTCTTGTTCACTTTTGGAATGGTCCACTCGCCCTTGGAGCCTTGGCCTGAGCCCAGGAACTGGGGCGGATAGGAGTGGTTGCCCTGGATGAGGAGCCACCAGGTGACATTGGGCCTGGTGGCATTGTTCTTGCACTGGAGTCGGGCCTCGTCCCCCATCCTCACTGTCACAGATGGTGGGCCCCCATGCACCCACAGGGCCTGGCATCCAGGGCCTGCAGAGAGGTGGGTTGAGTCAGGGACTAGGGGTGGGGATGCAGGCCCCCGGGGTAGCCCCAGTGCCCCTGGAGCACGGCCCCTCCCTGCTCACCCACTTTGTGCTTTGGCCTCTTCAAATTCTGACTTTTGAGTGTTTGATTTCCTAGGACTAAAGTGTCCCTGCCTAGACAGCTCCTCCCAGAGTCAGTGCAGACAGCAGCGCAGCCCAAGTCCTTCTGGTGCATGTTCCCACCCGCAGCCTCAGGCCAGCCCTGCGCCCAGCACTTCACCCAGGGTAACCCCATGGCAGAACCCGTAGTCCTGGCTTCTACTGAATGTGTGGTGGGGGGCGGCTGAGGCCGAGGAGCAAAGGGGGTTGCCCAGCATCAGCAAGGTTGGGGCTGTTCCAGTGGCTCTGGGGCTCAGACTCCCAGTTCCCTAGGCCTGTCCCTGCCTGGCACCCAGCAAACAGTCTAGGCCTGCCTTGGCTTGTGAGCCTGGACCTGTCCCCAATTCTCTGTAACTTGAAAGTGTCAACCTAGGGGGCCTGGGAGGGTTTATCCCTTCCCCGGGGCCCAGGATTGGGAGGCGGGCATCCCAGGGTGGAGACAAAAGTGTCCCAGAGGGAGGCAGGGGTGGCCCAGTGGCCACGGTAGTGTCTACTCTGGCCTCCTCCGGAAGTCCCAGCTCTCAGACTCCCCAGTTGGCTCCACTCGGCCAGCTCCCCATCATCTGGAGGTAGGAGGAGGAAGGTGGGAAGTGGGGAAGACAGATGAGTTGGGGAAGGAGGCTGAGCAACCTCATGGTCACAGGCTTCAGACTCAGACGTGAGCTCCAGTCCTGTTCCTAGGGTCACTGGGGAGAGTGACCTTCCTCTCTGAACTCCTCAGTCAGTGTTCTCACAGCCCTTGCCAGCTGGCCTTGGGTGGGGGAGGGGAGGAAGGAGGGACTAGAGATGAGGCATGTCCTCCCCTCCTCCCACCCCACTTGCCCTCCCCCCGCCCCCCCTCACTGAGAAGGGGCTGCCTACACAGAGGGCAACTTTCATTTAGGGTAGAGGAGAAAATGTTTGCTCCCCTTTGGCTCTTAGTGCCGCCGCCCCCAAGTCCCCTTCCTGCCTGCAACTATGGTGTTCAATCAAGAGCCACCTTAGTTCCTCATTTTGACTTGTGGGGACAAGCAGGGGGAGGGGGCCTTCTAGGTCCTCCCTCCCTCCATGGGACTGTGGATGCCCAGTCCACTTCCCGAGCCTCCTCCAGCCTTCCATGGTGGCTCCAGCCTTACCGTGGCCCAGCTTCGATTGGTCAAACCAATAGCTGCGATTTCTGCAGGGGTCTTCCCCAGCTCCCCCTCCACCGGCCCCCTCCCTGCCCCCACTACCTGCGCCTGTCCTCCCGCCCGCTGGCCTCCTTCACCCCTTCACACAGCACCTGCCCTTTGGCCACATACCCAGGCAGGCTGCGGACAGCAAGAAGAGGCCGCAGATGGTGGCAGGCAGAGCTGGAAGGACTCCTAGACCCCCAAGCATCTTCTCCCAACTGGTAGGTGATTCGTGCTGCAGCAGTTTGGGGTACCAGATTCCACTTCAAACCCCGCCCCACTTCCTGCCCTACCCTGCCGCGGAGATAGGCTCCACTGGTCTTCGCTGCTAGGCCTCTTGACTGCCGGCCTGGGGGCAGCCCCTGCCCCTTTGCTTCAGGCTGGTAGCAGCTGCCCCAGAGCAGGGAGAAACTACTTTCTGCACCTGCAGTGGCCGCAGTTCCCCTGAGGCGTGGCTGCTGGGTGGGGGCAGAGATTGGTTCAGGCCTGGCTCAGCACTGGGAGGTCTGGGGACAGAAGCTTGAGGGAGCCAGAGTTCAGAGTGCTGGCTGCTGGCAGTCTGTGTGGTGGTTCTGAGCTCCGCTTCTGTCTGCTCCTTGACCTTGGGCAAAACTTGTTCCCCTCTGAGCTTGTTTCCATACTTCTCGGGGTTGGGAACGAGGATTTTCCCTCTTCTGAGTCTTGGCTATTTTTTTTTTTCAGTACTAGAGATCAAACCCAGGGCCTCGCTCATTCTACGCAAGAGCTCTATCACCGAATTGCACCTCCAGCCTTGGCCTTGGCATCTGTAAATCCACAAGTTGAGGAGCAGAGGATCTCCTTGACATTGTGACATGAGACGCTGTGCTCAGCACCCAGGAGTTAGAACCATATGAGCACTTTACTAGAGTTCTTTTTTTCGGGGGGGGGGGGGGCGGGGGAGTACCAGGATTGAATTCAGGGACACTCGGTCATTGAGTCACGTCCCAGCCCTATTTTGTATTTTATTTAGAGACAGGGTCTTACCGGTTGCTTAGCACCTCGCTTTCTTACTGGAGTTCTTTTACATGGGTCTTCCCACATGGGACAACATAGGTCATTCGCCACTTTACAGAGGAGGAAACTGAGGTCCTGAGAAGGGAGGTTATCACTTTCCCGTTGTCATACACTCTAGGAGTGACCTTGAGGGATTCAAAGGCACCTTTTTGTCCCAGGTTTTTTTGAGCCTATCATGCTTGGCCAGGGAAATGAGGTTTGAGTAGGGAAGGGGGGAGTTGTTGAGATACCTGTGAACAATTAGGAGACCCATGTACACACACACACACACACACACACACAGAGAAAATTCATGCTGGGTGCAGTGATGCATACTTGTAATCCCCACAACTTTGGAGGCTAAGGTAGGAGGATCACAAGTTGGAAGCCAGCCTGGGCAACTTTGCAAGATCCTGCCCAAAAAAAAAAGTGGGGAGCTGCGGATGGAGCTCAGTGGTCAGTGGTAGAGTACCCCAGATTCAATCTCCAGTGCTGAAAAGAGAAAAGATCATGGCAGGGAGATTTTTATTAGCAAAAATCTAGAAGCAATCCAAAAAGTCATTTACAGGAGAGTGGATTCACGGGTGGTGACAGTCAACCAACCAAATACCACAGAATAGGGGAAGCGTCAATAGGCTGCCACTCAAATAATTCGAGGATGAGAAAAAAATCTAGTGTGATGCAGTTGACTTGTTTTCAAAAGGCAAAACAACACCGGGTACTACTTTAGGATACAAGCCTGTAATGGTGGTTTAGTCCCACATAAGGTGACAAATGCCAGGTTCTGAGAGGGGTTACTTCTCAGGGAAGAAAGGAGGACGGGGTTGGAGCACACAGAGGACTTGGCCAGTTTGGGTCTTATTCCTTGTGTTTCATTTTTGGTTTGTTTCTGTGGTGCTGGGAGTGAACCCAGGGCCCTGTGTACACATGACATGTGCTCTACCACTGACCTGTACTGCCAGACCCCCTTGTGTTGTCTCTTAAGCTGGGTGGTAGGTGTGTGGGTGGCTATTATGTTGTTATGGATACTCCTTTGCATGCCTGAAGTATTTAATTTTTTTAAATATATTTTTTAGTTGTTGATAGATCTTTTATTCATTTATATGCAGTGCTGAGAATCGAACCCAGTGCCTCACACATGCTAGGCAGGCGCTCTACCATTGAGCCATAACCCCAGCCCATATTTTTTTTTTTTTTATTTCTCGGTGGACACAACATCTTTGTTTGTATGTGGTGCTGAGGATCGAACCCGGGCCGCACGCATGCCAGGCGAGCGCGCTACCGCTTGAGCCACATCCCCAGCCCCCCCAGCCCATATTTAATAATTTTTAAAAAAATGCAACTGTCACCCACAGAAGAGCACGGGCTTCAAGAATCCAGGATTCTGGGACTTGCATCTCAGTTCTGCCAACTCACTGGTCATCTGAGCCTCAGTGTCTTCTCTTATAATATGGGTACAATTCCTGTTTGTGAAAGTGCACAAATATTATGAAGGCAGCTCCTAGGACAAGGTTAGTTCTTTTCTGTTTCTAGAGACCTGCCCTCTTCCTTCCAGAGGCCCAGATGTTCTGTTGGACCCCTGCCGTCACTGAATAGCAGGTTGTCAGCCCCTCTGTGCCTCAGTCCCTCCTTTTAAGGCCTTCCCAGGAAAAATCATGGGTCCAGAGCTGGAAGCCCTAGGAATTCACATTTTTCAGCGTCTTTCAGAAGCTGTTTCCAGGCCATTGGCTGCCCCCTAGCGGTTGGATAGGCAAAGCTGCAGGATTTCAGGCACATGGTCCAGTTTACTTAGCACCTCTTTCTGGTGCCCCACCCTGTGCAGACCAGATGCTTGGCATTGGGTCCTTATATTAGCTCTGGGAAGTGTTTTCATCCTTGGTGGACAAAAACAAAAAACAAGATTCCAGAACTGGATGTTGACAGGTCTGGGGTCATGCCAGGGAGTGTAAACTCTTGTACTTCATTTTCTCAGCTTTTTTTTTTTTTTTGATAGTGCTGTAGCAGGACGGGGCTGCAAATCCTCCATTAAGCTACATCCCCAACCTATAGCTGCAACTTAAAACTTGCCCATCTCTCAAAACTCTCCACTCCAGGTTTTGCTTTCAAATGGATCTGGGTTAAGTATTTTGGGGGCTGGGTACCAGGTGGTCCTAATTGCCCCACTAGGGACCTAAGTAACAGGGATTTCTTCAGGTGTAAACTTCATGGGTCCAGCCCTGTGCAAAGGTCTAATAGTTGGCTCCATCAACACTTCCTTCCCAAGGCCACTACCCTAAATCGAAAAGCAGAGGCTCAAGTAGGCCCACCCTGCCCATGCAGGCCCATAAATAGGTACCAGTCTAGAAAATCACTTTGGGCAGCAGTGTGCACCTGTAACCCCAGCAACTGCAGGAATGCAACCCAAGTAACTTGGTGAGATCCTGGAGGGGCTGGGAATATAGTGCAGAGGCTAATTACTAAGGGTTCTGTCCTCAGCAAAGCCCCCAGCAGAATAGCACCAGTTCTGCAGGTCTCTCTTCACTTCCTCCCAGGAAAGACACATGGGCTCTAGGACCATCCCTATTCTAACAGATGTCACCTCTGCAACCCAGCATCAGATTTGTCACTGCTTAACCAGTCACCCTTTGTTTTCTTGTTCCAGAGAATTGCAAACACAGGACATGGGGGAGGGATATAGTCCCCTCACCCACTGCAGGAAAATGTTCAGTTAGGGAGGTGTTTGAAGTGGGAAGACTGGCCTAGTGCTCTGCCAGCTACTGTTCAACATAACCATTCAGAGACCCCTGGTCCCTAGGAATGTGCTTTCAGTCAATCAAGAGACCCAGACCAGAATTACGAATGAGGCAATTTATTAACCCAGCATCCTTTTGTTCTAATGCTTCTTGTTGGCAGCTGCCACCTGTGGGAAAAGATTAAGAATTCAGATGAGTGGTGGGGTCTCTACTGTGCACTCCACTGGCTGCAGTAATAAGCACACTAAATTCTAGATGCCAAATGTACTCATTTAATCTTCATAACTGAGGTCATCTTCCCATTTTACAGGGACTCAAGCAAACGGATGAGTCCAATTCTGCCCACTGCCCCATGAGGGGAATGCTAACCATCAGCACAGATGTTTGCACCAGGCTCTCTTCCAACTCCCAGAGGGCGGACACCTTTCATTCTTTTGTGACACCTAAGTGACTACACATTTCAAGGCTTCTAGGAGGCCTGAGCCAATGATTAGGAACCAACACAGAGCTCATGCCAGGACCCCTTAGGACCTGGGGCTCCTGCTGTACTGCAGCCTGTGGAATCCTCACCCCCAGTTTAGGCTGGTGAGAGTGGGTCATTCCATGACAGGGAGATTATAGGGGTGAAGGGACTTTGTCCGAGTGTCATCCACCCAGGATCTGGGGCCTGACCCAGCATGCTGAACCCACCTGTTGCCAAGTAAGCACAAGATATGGGAAATGGAACCACCAGTGTGTGGGGGCAGATGTGCCCTATAGAGGCCAAACAAAACCTTGGCCTGGGCTCCCTCTACCCCAACACCCAAATTTTTGATCAACTTAAGCAGAAATGATCTTTTTTCTGCCCCTGGGCAGCCCCTTCCTGAGGTATGCCCTTCAGGGAAGGAAATAAGTCACATCTACAACAGGTTCTGGAAACTGGGGGAGTGACTGAGGGTCCCACCCTGAACAAAGTCACATCTTACCTGTCCAGCGATTCTGTCCAGATCTCTCTGTCCCTGAGGTGTCAGCTTGCGGCCCCTGAAGGAGAAAAGAATCTTAGTCATTCCCTGTTGAGTACAGGCTCTCAGCCCCCTCCTCTTGGCCACAAGCCAGGCTTCCCAAGAAGGTACCTGGCAGAGGGACCACATACCAGCTCCAGCCAAGTCCCACCCAGGCCCTAGTCAGTTGCATTCCAAGGAGCTGGGGGTAGGAGCACGAGCTCTCCCGGGAGCTGACTGGGTGTCGTTTGTGCAAGCATTAGATCAAAAGCCCCGAAAAATCAATTCGGAAAAGTTAACGAGCAGGCTAATGAAAGCGGACAGTCGCTAAATTACCTTCCTGGAGCCTGAGTAAGTCAGCCAGAGAGGTCGGGGTGAGGCCCCCTCACTGTTTTGCTTTTCTGTTGAATGCCCTGCCTGGCCGTGAGAGGAGCAGGTGGGAGGCACCCGACAGCTTCAGTGTATGTGACCTATGGTACTGATAACCTGGCCCCCAGGTTCCCTTTCTGCTTACCCATCTTGGTCCTTCTCTACCATCTTCAGTCCCTCCAGGGCTTGGAGGACGCGGCGGGCCACACTCTTAGAGCCTCTGCTGAAGTGGCTGGGCATGACACCATTTCTTTGACGTCCCCCATAGATCTTGGTCATGGAGCCAACCCCAGCACCACCCCGGAGGTACAGATGCCGTGCTGTAGAAGCTG